GTTTCTTGTGTGAAGACAACAGTTACTTCTTAATCCTGTCCATTCACCTGTCTTGGACTAACAAGAGTGGAACAGTTACAAAATGATTAATAGGTGTCTTTCTATAAGGGTCTACCATGAAATTATCTTAACACTCCTCAGACCATAATATAACATAAAACTATGTTTCGTAATTGTCTGGATATCTGACCTCTCTCAACTCAATTAAATTGTAGTGGGAACCGATGAGTTGGGTATAGATATCAGATGTATTCAACACATTTAACGTGTGGACAATTATAGTGTATGTAGCTTATTAAACTAATTTTTAATACTTAACAATTTGATTATTCAGTATTAGAAATACAAAGATTTGTCGATTGATGTTGGGAATTCTAGATGCAAAAAAGTGGCACTCTGAAATGTTGTAGTGTGGTCTTTTATTTCCCCAACATCCAAATCGTGAGCCATGAAATCCTGTAAAATAAGTTAATACAAATATCGACACGGTTTATTGTATTGGCTAAATGCTCGAGCTTACGATATGTAGACATTGTGTAGAGTAAGATAATACAATACAAAGAAAAACATTTGCCAGAGTAATATTAAGGACTTGCACGAAATAGAATACAAGTATACAAAGATAAAAGGTTGAATTGCAAGTATAGGTCGCAGCCCGCTATTTTTTTGACTGCTCAAAAATGGCGACCTATAAAAAAAGTTATCTTTGCGGTCAAATGGCGAGTCGCCGTGTACCATTTTCCCGACTACTCGAAAGGCAAACTATACTTGCTGAAAAATGGGGAAAAACTTTGACCTCAAAGGGTTAACATAATCATTCAACTAATACCTTTGCCTTGTGTTTTGAATTCGATGTGGCAAAATCCAGGTTCAGGAAGAGTGTTTGTCGATACAAACACTCTCAACGGTTATTGCACACCTTCCATCCTTGGATGATGATTTTCCTTCCTACTTGAAAATTTAAATTGATTTTATGTTGACTTTAATCACAAATCACTTTTGTTGATACTTTTGTCAGTATCATAAAAACTAGTGATTTTATACTAGGAACTAGTTTTTATGGATACAAAAACCAAGAGATTTTCACATTGTTAAATATGGATTTTTTCGATGACAGTAAGGTACGTATGTACTTTGCCTTGTTGTAATGTATGAACATGTCACAATACACTTTCTTTTAATCTTATCTACCTACAAAACCAATTTAAAATCAAACATGCAAAAAGCTAGAACGTAAACGAATCCTGATCAGACGATTGATTAAAAAGTTGATTGCGAATTTTACGATCTCAAACACGTAAAACAGTATTGATTCAACTCGATTTCCAGTTTATACCTGAACATAAGACTGGAACAGGTGAGGCTAAGCTAATGTAACGATGAAATACAATCAACTTTTGACGTCTTTATTTGTTATTAGAGGGAACACTCTTATTACTGTACTAATGTAGATCAACCTGAATTTAAGTTTAAGAATACAACACGTGTAAATAGACCCAATAGGTTATTTTGCATTGCTAATTACGAGTGTCAGATAATAAGGCTGAAAACATAGTTTGAAGGTAGTAAAACATTAAAAATCCAGGCAATATATTCAAATCAATTTATATTTGTTTACTTTAAACAATGCTATAAACATGGTGGAGTTAAAGGGTTTTCTTAGTTTTTTGATCATTAAAAAAATTCATCTGTGATTTAATAGCAAAATAATATTAGTTATTTAAATGTAAATATGTTGATCTTAGATTACATTATTATATCTACTTCAGCATTTTATACTGAAGTCAAATTCACAACTAAATGCTTGCAGAGGCTCAAATGTTTTACACTTTAGCCAAAATATCACCGGATTTCATTAATCTGTTATAGAGCAAGCTTTGCATTTGACAGATTCAACCAGGACGTGATTGAGCCATGCGAACGAGCTCATCTTGAAAATTAAGAAATTAAACGGGGCAAAGCCCGCGGGTACAGCTAGTCTGTTATAGAGCAAGCTTTGCATTTGACAGATTTTAATTTGAAAAGAACGACAGTGATAACGACGGTTCTTTAACATCCATAAATTATTTCCTTACATCTTTTTTACATTTAAAAATATTAGTTCTTTGCCTACTTCAAGTTTCATGGCCTTAAAATTACCATGTTTGATTAGTTTTGTGAACAAGTACCTGTTAAATTCCTTATAAATTTCAAGCATAGCGAATTTGTTTGGTTTTATAAATAACAAATACCCAGTGTCGAAACATAAATTTAAGAAATTTTTGAAAATATACTACATATCGGTAATTTTTTCTATTTTACAAACAATTTATAGTTGTCTCACTGGTGAGATTAAAAAAGGAGTTAAAATTTATAGAATTTTATATATAGTTATAATATAGTTTTTTAATAGAAGCGAAGAACTCCCCACACCTCATTAAACTTTGAAAGCTTCAGCTTCATTATTCCAAGACTTACCTAGAAAGTCTTCTCTCAGGCTTCTAATTGGATGATCAAGTTGCATCTCTTATAAGTATACAAAGTATTAAAACTGTAATTGAGTCCCTTAAGCGTATACTCAATGCTAAAAACCCAGATATACATGCTTTGTTGAACAAATAAAGACATTTATTAATTGAAAAAATACAAATTTGCTATCAACTAAGTAGGTGAATATTTTGTAGGTCTTTGCCTAAAAACACCATCTAAGTTTTCTATTGTTTTTATTTTTTTTTCACGATAAGAAGAGGTCACTTACTCCTGAACTAATCTAAAACAGGTGTAACTCTATTTTAATAAAATTAGATACTTAGCTTGCGTACATTTTAAAACAATACATTAAGAACCCCCCAAAACACCCAAACTAGAAGCTAGTTAATTTTAGCTACCAAAAACCCCTTTTTTTAATATTTTCGTTGGAGAACGAAGAGAGCAAAGTTCAAGTAAGGATTCAGATCACTGAGTTATTGAAACTTCTTTAGCATTCTGTTGCCAACAATTTCTTATTTGAGAAATAAAAATGTGCATTCAAGTTAAACCCAATTTTAATTTTAATTCGCCCTAACCAAACTGGAGACTTATTTAATAATATCTTTCCGTCCTTTCGGCCGTCTTGACGACGGAGTGTTATTTAATTACCTTGAGGTCAATTTACTGAATGAAATTATCATTGCCTTAAAAAATTGCCCATCTTATCCAAGATAATAATAATTTGTTATACAATATTTACTTTTTTCTGATACAACGTGTATTTTCACTCGTGGTTTGTATACCCTACATAGTCTGATAAATTATAATCTATTTATTTTTTAAGTTTTTTAAGATATCGTAAAAAACACATCAAATCATAACCAGTAAAACCCTAGTTCAGTGCAAGTATGTAACGTAAACAAGTTCAATTTTTTCAAAAATGTGTAAGAACCTTTTTTTAAAGATACACACATTATTAATAACATAATATCATTTAAAAATAAGATTTTACAAGTGATAAGCCAGTGTAGGAGCTCCTAAAATTTGGGTCGTCAATATGAAAATTAATGACTTCTTGGAGAAAAAAGTGTGTTAGTTTGCTGTCTTTTGTGGGAGAAGTAAACTTATATACGATTTTTTACTGATACATTATTAGGCTGGCGAAATACTACTCTAGACTGGCAAGTATTAATATTCGCTACACCAATTTTTAAATAATCAAATTACTTAATAATAAAAACGAACAAAGGCTACAATGTTTATTTTGGAACTTACATGAGTTTATTTTGTAAGCTTTTTCGTGTTAACCTTGCAAGAATGAAATGAAACACGTATCAAATATTAAAAATAATAATTTTTATATTTAAAATAATCTTTAATTTTATAAACCATACACTTACAGTTGCTTTTGGCTCTTTTTATCAAGGGGTTTTCTAAGAATTACATAATTCAGTGTTTCGTGCATTATGATGCTTTTTTTCCTTCCGATTTTGTTATTATATTTGTGAATTAAGGCATGAGAACCATTTAAAAGTAGCTTTTCATGACTATAATTAGTTGACCTTTTAAACATCATCAAAGATGTATTGAAGAACGGATCAAATTCACAACCTCAATGAACTTTCTTGATGATTTCTTTAGGGGCGACTTTATGAGACAACATTAACATTGATTAAAAGTTCCATCAGGAAATAATATCTTTAGACATAAATATATGAGGTGTTTATTCTTTATTTTTCCACAGGTGCTGTCCAAATACATGTAACAATAGCTATTTTACTTTTGCGATATGAAGTGTTGGTACAATAACTCTCATCAGAATTAATTGATCTTCCCATCATCGATATAGATAGAATTATACAATTCTATCCAATATTTAAACTCTTTACTTTAGTACTAGTAATACTTAGGACTTTCAAAAATATGTAGTGTAATTTGTAATCTTATTTAAATGAATATAGGACTTTGAAACAAACGTTTGGTTTTTGCAATGTTCAAAATTTTTCAAATAGGTTTTACGGCTATTTAAAATGAACTCTTGTGGTAAGATTACAAAAAATTAAAAATAACGAAAGACGCTTAAAATATAAATCAAACAGTAATATTAAATTATTTATCAAGTTTTATACCTTTCTAAACAAAATATTTAATTGGCACTATTTCATTGTATAACAGGAAAGAAAACGAAGGACTGTTAATTGTTTTCATTGATATTGCTTCAACAGATTCTCCAGTAATAGCTTCCTTGGTTGCTGACAATAATCTATAGAACTCTTTTCTTCAGTGGTGTATTAAACGAACTGTCATTTACATTTCTGAAAGTGTAATTGTCTAGTAAAAATATACATTTAGTCTATGTAGTCTGATATAATTTTTTTATTTAATTCTTTGAACTGTTTCTTTCTTTATTGATTTTTTTTTTCATCAGGAGGCTATGACTATTGAAAAACCAATGATAATAATATACATGACATTTGATGGTTCAGCATGGAAAGAGTATGGGAATAATAAATCAAACTAAAACAAAATAGATTTATTTTAAAGGTCACTCACATTGTTTTGGGACAAACAATACATATTGTTTTATGTTGATAAGACAACTGGTGGAACACTAAAAATACTTACAGTTTCTTAAAAAAACCTTAAATACAAGTACTAGGTTATATCTATGGTAGTCAACTAGAAGTATAAAAATAATAAGGTTTCTATGCTAGTCGTATTACATCTTTACTTATCCTATACTACATTTTTAAGTGGGGATTAGTATATTTACATTTATTTTTAATATTAGAGATTGATAATTAAGGTTTATCAATAAAACCTCTGTTGGCCATAAAGGCTTGCCAAAGCCGTAGTAACTCTAACAATACCAAGTACAATATTTAAAACTAAGATTTGATTTGAAGTAAATAAAATATAAAAAATAAAACAAATCAAAACATATTGCACTTCAAAAATATTTCTGCTGAAAACGCTAATCGTATCTAAAACAAAGATACATTTCATAATAATAATCATAGGTACTGGCAAATTATGGTATGAAATTTTACAATCTGTTACAAATAAATACATTTCATAACTATACTATGTTCAATAGTGCTCCCGTTCTTTTCCTCAGTCCATTTTGTACCCTAAATTACATTTATGATAATTCGTAGCAATTATGTTAACTTACAATACTAAACTTTTAAACTTTTATACTAATTTTTTGGCTTGCTCCTTTTATACAAATTTTGTAGCTGCATTTTTTACCAGCCATACAACTTTTTGTTAAAACTTCTTGTCAATCATAAAACAACAAGAAATCATCAAATTAATTATTAAATTATACCATAAAGGGAAATGAATAAATCTATATGTGTTACATGATAAATGAGCGCACTGATAAAAGATACTCTGAAGATGACGGGAAAATGGAATTGCTAAGACGTACATTAAGACTGTGCTTCATCACTTAGGTTTTAAGATTAAATCTTAAAAATTATCACTGAACACCTCACTTTTCATCAAACTGGGTTTTGACAAAGTAAGTGACCAAAGTCCCCTTGCCCTTGACGTAGGTAGGTCCTCTGCATTCACATTGATAACCGGCACCCATCAAGATCTTGGCTGTATCCTCAGTTACCTGCAAATATAAAATATACAATTTCTAAATTATCAATGGAAGTAAATGAATTTATTAAGTAAACAATGTATTTATTCATTTATAAAAATTGTTAATTTTGGTGAACATACGTTGAATATTACATCTAAGAAGAAATTTCTAGATTGGTTTTGGACTAAGAATGATATCCAGTGATTTCACAGAGATCATTCGAAAGATAAGGAACATAAGCAGAACAACTTGAATAATATTAGATATCCTTTTATGTTGCTACCTTAAAAATTAGAAATGCATAGACAGAATCATCTTGCTCAAGAACACAAACAACAAAAACAGATATATAATAAAATACAATTAATGTATTTTTTACAATGTAACTACATTGTAACAGTAAAAATGTTAATATAAATATTACTACTTTGAGCATTAAAATAATTAAATTACTTTTTACTTTTGAGCTTTCGTTATAAATTTGTTTAACAGTGATTTTCAGCATAATATATTTTTGCAGGAATATTATTCCTCAAATGGACTTTTTTCGTAACGCATGCAAATTGAACGAACATTCAGAAGTTTTAGAACGTCCTAGAAAACTATAGACCATTTTTGGATTTAGTGAAAACACTTGTGCATTTGAACACTTTGGGTAATATGATGACATATTTTAAAAGTCATAAGATTTACTACCTCATCATTATGGTTCTCCATAATGTTAAAACTTGGATTAAATACAATGTGTCCACTTTTAGAACTATTAGCTACTAAATCTTGTTTACAATAATTAATACCACGTGTCTCATACGTCTTAGTAACCGATTGTGACGTCATACTCACTTGTAATTTACCCATAAGCCCACAGCTATCCATTCTTGAGGCCACATTCACTGTGTTGCCCCATATGTCGTACTGGGGCTTCTGCGCGCCCACCACCCCAGCTATCACAGGCCCGTGGTTCAAACCTAGACAGAAGAAATCTGTTAACTTGCATCCATCTGCGATCTACCTTACTGTAAAACTGTATTGAAGGGTGAATCTTATCTAAAAATTGTAGTCTTTCATGAGAAGGTAGTACCTTTGACTATTGATGGAACTTCAGCTTCCAAAAGTCAATAATGATACCCAACTAGGCGTACAACAAATATGAAACTTTGTTTTAACTCTCTTCGTATTATTCCCCAGCATTCTATCCTTTAGATGTATGAATCATTCCAGGAAAAAAACACTCAGGCAAGAGAGGGATAGGCTTATTTTCAGAGTTCAAATTCTCATCGGCTTGACTGGATAACCAAACTAAGTAATAGAGCTATAACTGAGCACCACTATTTCAGTTGAGTACCAATCAAACCCAACCCCAACAAACATTTATTTGGCAGATCATTTATGTTTTACTGTAAGAATTGCTACCAATAGCCTCAAAGCCAAGGACAATATAACATGAGCTTGAAAAGCTGAACAAAAGTTGTTACCCATTCTAAGCTTGAACCTCTGGAAGGACTCTCTATTGATCTGGTCTAGAATTGTCATGAGAGCGACGGCGAACTCAACCAGGACTACCACATTGTGCTCCATCCTTCGAGTCTCGTCCTGTACAAATAACGTACCTTTTTTGATTAATTAATAACATACTATTGGATTGGTTGCCTACTTTAAAGTAGTCTAGGGTGCAAATGTAAAACAGTTGCATTCTTGATTAAATTTTATCCCAATTCAACAAAAGAACTTTAAGGAAGTTAACTAGGTAGGACTATCCATTTAAGAGTGGATATATGTGTGGATATGGTAAAACCTTGATCTAACGTTGGTCAATTTGGTTGAACCCCCCGTAAACATGACTACTGATTGCATCAAAAATGCCTTCTTTTAAATAGGTTATACTTCACATATTTTGTTAACTATTGATGAATTCACTTATCATTTGCTGCTTGAGCACACATTTTTGCTACCATTCAAAATCATCACAATCTATGATGTAATTTCTGAAGAATCTGATGATAATTGTAACTAATATTATAAACCTGAACTAGTTTTGATGCGCAGCTAAAACGAAGCTGTTATTTACTTGTATTAAAATACAACACTAAAATAAAGAAATTTACCTTCTTAGTGTCCTATGGGAGCATGTAAAAACGATTTCAATTAGTGCATTGCAACAGTTATTAAACTGTATAGTTACTAAGAAAATTTGATTTTTAATGAATAGGCCTAGCAGTTAAAATAATAATGATAACAATCAAAATATATTTATAAATAATATTTTAAATACTGTCTCATGATAATAATTTTTTATATAGACATCTGGTCTGATGGGTGTTTTCATGAACTACTATGATGAACGCTCAAATGCCATTTTGAAGGCTAATAATAATTAAAAATTACGAATTATCAAGTAGTGTTATTTAAGATAACAAATATGACCACTAGTTTCACATTTTATTTACTACTCTATTAATATATTTATTCAACTTGAATCTACATAGCCTCTTACTCATTACTATTTTCAAACACCTTAAATATACTTTTACTATCAGTTGTACACTACGAGTATACTTCACTCTAAAAAAACCTTAAATTCCTTCCTCCCATTATAAATTTTCTCCTCGTTTGACTCACCCCTCCTTCTTTCTCCTTTCCTGGCCTCAGTCCTGATGCCAGCATGTAAGTGCTTCCAATGGTTTTGATCTTCTCTATACTGCTGAACTTCGGTTTGAGCAGCAGCTAAAAACAACAATTTAGTTTCAGAATGTGAATGAAAAGTCTAGAGTTAAATAAAATTCATTCAGATTCAAAGAAACCCCAAATAATTCACTTATGTCTACACTAACTTGGCAAGCCTTTTTTCTACTTTGTTATTTAAGATTGTTTCTACTTCCAGTTTTCATGAGTTGTTCTTGAAATGCATTTTAAATTGATATGTCTAATGTAAAAAGGACGTAAGAAGAATAAGTTACTGTTAGTTAGAATTTTAAGAACAGAACATGAAATACAAATTTTATTTCTTTGTATTATGCTTTAAGAAGTGTTAGGCCTTCAAACGAATTCGGGGTTTAGTAGAAAATGCCTTTTGATAAAAATGAGTGCTTGCACCATTGATACAAATTGATGATCCTTATGCCCAGTATACCTAACAGTAGTACCTTGTCAAAGTCATATTGATGATCCTTATGCCCAGTATACCTAACAGTAGTACCTTGTCAAAGTCACAAATGATCTCGTTGAGTAGTCTGAGGCACTCCAGTCCTTGTTTGTTGACGTCATTCTCGTCGTAAAACTCCTTGTAGTTTGGAATCGATGCGAACATGACTGCTATGCAGCTGTACCGTTCGTGATACAACTCCTAGACCAATAAAACATTTATATAGTATATCACAACAAAGGAAAAAGCATTGTCATGGCTTCCACGAGATAAATGTGGCAACGCCGCAATACCGGCCTACTGAAACAGCTGTACTAATTCATGGAGAGTCTCTGCATGAGGCCAGCCGGTGCGACGTTGCCACACAGCAACGCCTTGGCCTGGTATTAATGGAGACTATGTTACTGTACAAACATGAAATAAATAAAATATTTTAACGTAACATTCATTATGTTATTGAAATAAATCATATCCATAATGTTATTGATGCATAGCGAAAGGTGACAAAACAATTATTCTTAATGCTCTAACATTTTCAAGTGGTTTTGAAAACTAATTTTGAGATAACGTATTCTTAATTTACAAACATCCATAGTTTGAGTCACGTGGCTAACTAAAGAACAACTAACTAAAGAAACTAAAGAATAAGAAGTTCTTCTTACCTTACTTAACCTTAAGTTAAACGTAATATACTTTTATTTCGTAATCTGTTTGTACCTGAGTTGCTCTTGTGGCCAAGAAGTGTTCAGCGACGTGAGCTGGAAGTATATTCTCCAGTAAAATCTTGTTAATGCCCCGCATAGTCTCTACCTGAAAAGAATAATTTGATGCAAGAATTGTACTTAATGTACGACATATTATGTCATGAAATGAAGCGTATAGTACTAATGAAAATGCAATTTAGAAAAAGCTAAATAGGAATTCATTTCTGATCAAAAAAAAATTTTTGTTCTATAATGGCATCTAGTTAAAACTGCACCTAGTAAAAATCTTAGTTGTTTAAACTATGAACACTTTGATCAGCATTGTTTGACTTGTCACCCAACCCATCTTCTCAACCATCTTTTATGTATTTACCATCTTTTGAGCTAACAGTATTAGTGTATATATATGTTGATTGAGCTACTAGACGCATTTTATCACTGTAATTGGTGGATACTCACCTCTTCCTGCTCAACCTTTAGTTTTGCCTTCCACAGAAAGTCTGTTCTTGATGTAAACTCTATCTGTCTGTCCAGGATGTGCAGAAGGACCATGAGTATCAGAAGAGGAGACCACAGCTTGAACTGGATAGGAAGACCAGCTAGGCTGAAAGTACAGTAAACATTTAGTAAAATGAATGATAATATATCATGTTCCAGCTTAGGATATTTTTACATATACTTGCATTTGATGAACATTTTAAAAGTAGCTTTTGATGCAAAGGTGTAAGTGAATTTTCAATTAAGTAGACCTACCATGATCAAAAATGTAAACCTAATAACTCAAATTAATAAAAAACTTTATGTTTTGCCCAAAGAAATTACCTGTCCGTGTGAAAGAAGTCGTACAGGTCGAACAGGGAGTCTGATGTATACAAGGTGAGATGAAACACGGAGGACGCCAACATCAGACACAGCTTGAGTATGAAGCCGATCCTCAGAAACACACAGATTGTGGCCAGTGTGATTGCAGAGCTGTACAAGTAGGCCTGGGACATACAAGTCAAAAATACATAGCATCCTCTAAAACAAGGCCGTGCCCGCGGCGTAGGAGCGTGGCAACGTCGCACCGCCGGCCTATTGACATGGTTATAGCATAAATAACACATTGTGAACACAAACATTGCACTGAAGCTCGTGCCCGCGGCGTAGGTGTGTGGCAACGTCGCACCGCCGGCCTATTGACATGGTTATAGCATAGATAACACATTGTGAACACAAACATTGCACTGAAGCTCCATTTTAGTGCCGCCGTTTCGGTAGGCCGGGACTGCGTCGCCACTTTTGCCTCACCTTGGCATTGTGTATCTAAGGAGCATGGGAAAATAACTATATTTACAATTGTACATGTGCCATACACAACGAAAAAGACTGTTGCTTGAGAAGGAAGAGTATAAATAATCTTTATGCCGAACAGCAAAAATATTTGAGTAGGATAAAAGAAAATGGAAGATGGATAGTAAAATAAGATTTTGCATTGGTAAAAGTTGAAAAAAAACAACAAATCAGTCGGAGTTATAAACGGTTTCGTATGTCTATAGTTGTCCACCTAGGATCAATGTTGAGATAACGATTTATACAGGGTGTTAGAAAAGTAAGTACATAATTTTGTACCTACTCCTTGGTTTAAAATAAATAAAAACTTTTATAAAAATTTATATAAGTTCACTTTGTACGTGTTAATAAAACAAATTATTATTTTATGTATTAATAAATTTGGATAAAACTGTAGGTATAGCAAGAAAGAAATTATTTTTTTATGAAAACATATACTGATAGACAGCCACTGAACAAAAAGATATAGCACTTATGTTCATATAACTTTTTTTGATTATTTTTTCCTCAAGGAGTCATGTAATGTCACCATCCTCTTTTAGACAGTTTGTATACATACAGTATATTTATTGCATTTGCCTTTATAACTTTTCTTCATGGGTAATACTGAACAAAATTAGTTTTCCAGATGATTACATTTTTAATCTGGAAGAGTTTTAATGTAAAAGTCAAATATTTAAAGGAATCTTCAAAATTTACACGTAAAAACGATTTTCAAAAACAAATTTATGTGATTCAAAGTACAAGGGGTTTTCAAATCAAATAATAAAAAAATAGATTCAAATTTGTACATAAAAAAACTGACAAAACATGAAGAATGGCAAATAAAACCATTCTCTTCCACTGTCTCCCAAACTGTAACGCCCAAACACCTTATTAATCACTTTTGATAACTTTGACATCCCAATTTGACACAACCGTAAGTAGACAAGTTGATACTACATTTATATACACTACACAGGGTAGACTTTTAATCCAATGTAAACATTTGAAGCCAAGAAAATAGATGAAGTTTAGGCCCATCTCACTAGAGACTAGTGCATTGGGTTTTAATAAAAAATTAATGCCAACAGCTGATTGATTTATCACTTGACGTGGAATTTTTCCATTAGTTGGTAGACCACCAACTAATGGAGCTACAACTTAGTTGGTAGCTTTTTACTTTTCACAAAAGCTGTTAAATTAAAAATACAAATTTAAGGCATACCGGAGCAGAATCAATCTCCTCCATAGTGTAAGGTTTTTTCTGCCTCGGTACCCTGAGGACGTCTCCAGCCTTGTAAGGGAATGACGTCACAAAATATGTGTCGTTGTCTATTGTGGAGTTGATCTCTAGTCGGGGAACTTCTTGAGGCTCGTCGGGCTCAAAATCTATCTGCAACAATACTCATGTTTAACAAAACATGATTATTTTCATAATACACTTAACGCTTTCACCTATTTTGGTATTGGCAAGTTTATATTTGCTAAGACATGATAAAATGAAAAAAATGCACTTTAAGTGGCTAGTTTTAACTTCCAATGATTAACAAGGTAAGCAATATGGGTGTCGCACATGTTTTTAATTGCTAACAAAAAAGTAAGATTATAAGGTTTATAAAATACGATAGAAGGTAAACAGAATAATTTCTAAATAAAGCGATATCCAATGGTACGATTTTGAAAGGTTCACTTCACAAAGACATTTCCAACAGTACAATCATTCATAAAAAATACAGTAATCTAAAATACAATAGCATAATATTGTAGCTCAAAACTCCACAAGTGGGGTGTAGGGGGGTAGCTTGTAGGGTGTGTTATAGAAAATCATTTCGCACACAGCTTCAAAAGGTCACGCAGTCTCACACCAATGTTTTAATGTACAACATGTTTTAGCATTGATAATGCTGACATAATCTTTTAGATATTTAAAGTATCCTACCTTCTTGACGAGTCTATAATAAATCGTAATGAGTTTAATCCTTGAAAAGGTTAGGTAGTTAGATTAGGTAGTTAGGTTAGGGTACGTAGTTAGGTTAAGTAGATGGGTTCGGATAGGTAGTTAGGTTAGATATTTTGGTCAGGGTAGGTAGTTAAGAATCTAATTCTCTCTAAGTTAGGTTGCTACGAAACCCTCCACGACCGACCCACCAGTGTGATAACAGCACAGACAGCCACTAGCATGACAGTGATGACAAACATGGCGATCCTGAGCCACCGACTGTCGCTGACCACACGACCAGCCTGGCCCTCGTCAGCATCCTCAGGGGTGGCAGAGCCCTGGGGGGCGCAGCCCTCGGCCCAGCTCACGTATACGAACACCAGGAGTGCCACCAGCGTCGGACCGTAGGCGCCATACAGGACCAGACCTCTGGAAAGCAAGATTGACGATTTAATTGAATTCTAATTTAATCCTTCCTCAAAAACATAACCAAAATAATACTACGGTGAAAAGAAAGGTGTGCAAATGACCAATTCCCCGAAAACTTGTTTGTTTTGCTGAAGGACCCCTAGGACATGGTTCATGAATTTAAATTGATAAAAAAGTCCACCTAAAAGAATATTATGAGCCTCAAGGTCCTTCAGATGGGTACCTACTCAAAATATACCATCGCTCCAACGAGCTGCAAAATAAAATTTAAGAAAAAAAAATAACCAAAATTGTTGTACCAGCTATATAATTATTTAGGCCTGTTTAAACAATGATTTATAAATTAATTGGACCGATTTTTTACTATTCTATATTTAGACAGAGTAATAATTTATTTAGTAACAAAAAATAAAATACATTTCATAATATTTGACTGAATTTAATGATTATGTATACAGAATAATTTATTTAGTAAAAATAAAATTAATGTTGGAAAATCTTATACTTTCGAATAAACAAAAAAAGGGGACTGAACTCATTTGCATCTGTTTATGATGCATTTTACGACTTTTAAAAGTTATATTATTTTCGTATCTTGCAGAGTATAAGTACATTACCTGCTATTTCACTTTTACACCTAAGAAAACAATATATGAACTAAAGCTAAATAACACAAAAGTGCAGTGTAAACCCTCGATTATCTTATAAAGCATATTCGTATTAGAAGGAGAAATAATCACGATAAATGCAAACCCCTTAAATTAGGAAAGTGACAAGCGAATTTTACATTATTCTGAAAGTTTTTAAGGTATCAAGGGGATTCGTGGGCGAATTGTGCATTTGAATAAAATCCAAAATATGTTTCCGGGGCAAAACGAATAATACTCTTTCGTCTTTCAAACAATATGTTTAGACAGTCAGGTAAATAAAACTAAAAAATTGTAAAGTGATTGTAAATGAAAACCATATAGAATTATTTACTTACTTAAATCAGGTTAATATATCTCCAAAATGCTTTAATATCAATTTTGTATGATTTCGTCTATTGTTTACTGTCCGAATATGCTTAATCATTCAACTGAAGGATTAGATGTCATTTAATAAAATTAATATTTTAAAATGGTTATAAAGAAAGTTCGCCAGTGTCACAGAAGCTTTGAAAGTGAACTGTAGAAATTAATCAAAAGCTAAGGGGGTGAAACCCTAAATGAAATAGCTTCTTTAATTACCATTCATCACTCCATTGGATCATAAGCTAATGACTAAATCATAAAAATATGTTCAGTTGGACGGGCGAAAAAGGATGTAAACAAGAAAACACGTAGTACATTAAGTATATAGAATATATATTACTTGGAGAACGCTGGATATTACTTTGAATATACTTTGAGTTATTTTGAAGAAGAAAAATCAAACGTGTAGATAAATTCATTTTTTCTATACAAATTCACATGCTGAACTGACCTCGGCACCATGAGGGCTTGCACCGCAGCCATGCTGAGGAACAGCACAGTGGCGCAGGCTATGTAGAACTTGAACTGCAGGTCTGGCTGTGACCTGTATGATGTTTCTTGGTCTCTTTTGTGAAACCAGAGCATAACAGGGTTGAGCTCCTCCGAGTTGAACCACTTTCTGTAACAACAATTGCACCTTTAAGTTAGGTTTTCCTAGGTGCGGAAGCGGAGCGCCACTGAGTGAGCGAAAAACCTTTTCTCCACACTTCGCTCTCCACCAGTAAACCTCAGCTTTAACACGACAATGACATAAAGATTATACGTGTCTATGGTTAAATATTTAGTAACAATTATACACTTCCCATCAAGGGTCAAACCTTGTAACTCCTAACTACACCTTAAAAGTGCTCTTAAAAACTCTTTTATCGTTCACATTCGTTTCAAACCATAAAAAGAATTATCAGTAACCAATAAATAATTAGGAAATACAATTTTATTAGCACTGAAGGACTACAATACTTTGACTGTGTACTTTAAAACATTAAATGCAATCGTTAAAGTTGTTTCTACAATTTGCTTCCGTATGATATTAATTCAAAACTCGGTATCACCAAATTCGAACTATTATTCAACTGACAGGCCAATTATGTGTTAACCATAAATACTTGAATAAGATTTCTAATTATATATATATATATATATAATTAATGATTGCAGCCAACGTAAACACTGTGTATTTTACAGTTTGAAATCAAGTTAATTCCTTACCTGCATTCCAAACAGGTACTTTTGCTAGGTAGAAGATTCGATTCAATCATTGCAATACTCTGAAAAAAAACATGAATAAAGTATAGCATCAACATAACCTAATAATAGTTTACACTGTGAAGGTGGAATAGGAAAATAACACGTTACCAACTTATTGATAGCACAATTTGAGCTTATAATAGAAAAGTAATTGAGAAACAATACACATACAAATAAGAAGAGATTAATTTAAATATGAGCTTGAACACTACAACTCTTTTACGAAATCAACTAACTGTTAATTGTATTATTTAAACAATTCCTCAATTGTTTTTTAAACAATTTACTTACTCGTTTCTCTACACCAACTGTAGAATAAACGCAAAACACCTTAGTTGAAACAGTGGATTGTAACAGTGTATATTTTGTTTGTTAAATTGTTACGGTAGTAGTTTATTGACTCTGTTAATGCAGGCAAAACACACATTTGAATACCAGTTACACTTTCAACAAAGATTTTCAGAAATAATACATAATGATGCTTTTGGTTGCAATGAAATAAAGCTATCCAGATCAAGTTAAATTATATTTATTGGTTATATTTTGATTCCAATAGAGGGTTGAGCGTCCTTTGGAGAGGTAGGGAATTTTGAAAGGTATCAAACCTTTATAGGACTCATACACAGTTTTCTATAACACAAATTGTTTATTCAATTAAATTTATTACCAATTAAAGTGACAATTGTTGAGACAGGATACGTTTGACATTTTAGTTCACAATATGTATCTCAGAGTAAAATTACAAAAGTTACTGATTCTGCAAATTGAAACCTTTAATTATTGAACACTCAAATCAAAACCACTTTAACTTTGTTTATCAAGGAGTTTGTACTGTATTGTATGGAAAATTATTGAAATATCATTTCGGAAAGCATTATTATCGTCAGTAAATTTAACGTTTGTTCTTGAAACATCTCGAGATAAATCAAACAAAGAAATAGTCAGCTGTTTACGTACTATTATTTTTGAATGGAGATTCTCTATGCTAAATCATATGGAAGTGGATGGCAAAATAAAATTTTAAAGTTCAAAATAGACATCGCACAAAATGTAATAATAATCCAAACTGGGAAATACACAAAGCTTGAACTTCATGTCCCATTTCGTTTTACCAGAAACACCCCTTATCATAAAAAAATAAAACTATCGAAATGGGGTTTTTTGTCTGTCTTTTCGTATCGGAAAGTCCTCTGAACAAAATAATTTTAAGATGTTTAAAAAAGTCAATCTGTGAGTCTGATAGTATATCGAAATTCACCTAGATCTCTTTCCATAAGCTTTCATTTGTGAGACGGAACTTTAGGATTTTGACTGCCCTTTGGCAAGATGTTTGAAAGGAAAATGTTAGAATTAAGTTTATACAATCAGTACATATGTAAGCTAACATTTAAACCAATTGGGAATTACGAGTTAAGCTACTAAATACATAACCACTGACCGTAAGACCAATATTCTTTGCCAGGGTGCTCTCTGTGATGTTGGCGAAGGGTTTGTCTGCGCCCCAACATTCCACATACTTGGTCATCTTGCTGGAGCCTCTTCCTCTGTTGATCTGACCAGGAGTAGCATCCGAGTTGACCGCTAGTCCGTTCGTGCTGCACTCCTTCTTCTCGTCGCTTTTGTTGTCTTTCTAAAAAAAAATTACATTGATTAAGTATTAGTGAACACGTAGAAGTGATACAAAAATAGTAAAAAATTAAGTTTTGAAATACTGGATTGAGGGTATTAGTACCACTGTATACGTGTATCCCAATGATAGTGTTCTTCTGAACATTCTCTAATGTATAGTCGATCAATTTTACTATACGAACTTTTGAACGATTTAGGTGGAGTTTGAAATGTTAGAGTAGCATAGAAATAATAACACACAACGGAAATAATAAGACAGTGAAATAACACGAATCGAACTTTTTGTTTAGAAATGTGTCCAGCTATACTCAGCTCAGGTTAACCGTATTCTAAAGAAATACAGTGACATAGAACTGTGGTATAAGATTTAACATTTTTGAAGTTCAATGAGGGTGATATAAAAATATAAATGATCAGGTATAATTTGTATAACCTACAGATGGAGGTATGATCAGGTATGTTTCGATCTTGTGGTCAGCCAGGTATCCTTCTCTTTCTTCTCCGTGACCTGGCTCCACTTTAAATCTGTCGCTCAGCTGGTCCAGAGTAGCTCTAGTGATATGCACCCTCCTGGAACATGACAGTTGATTCAACAAAAATATCAGTAGTGCATATAATAATGCATTCATGTATAAATAAAACCCCATAGTTTTATCATCACATGGACGATGGAATGTCGTCTTGAAAATTGTCAGGTTTATTGAAATAAGCTTTGACCGGATGGGTTTTGCAAATAAATAACAATTGATGAACCAGCAACAATAATAATGGTTGGTACACCGGATGGTAATGAGTCAAATTGATAGACTCGTGTTTCCATTTTTGTTTAGTGGGCTATAACTAAGATTGTGCAAGGATAAAAACTTATACAAATTTCTGGCAGTATTTGGAATTATGTTGTAAGAAAGATAATGGAAAATTCACTAGACTAAAATGATAGCAATCGGTTAAAATACCAGTTCTGACAATAAAATGTTTATATAGCAAATAATCATGGTTACTATAATTGTGATCGGCAACATTAAAGCTTTCACATTATTTCAGGCTGGACCTGAGGGTTGCGGCATTATCACTTAGATAAAATCCATTGGTGATTTGTCGGGATTTGAACCCGGGACCTCAGGCACCGAAGTCCCGCGCTCTAGCCACTTGACCAGCTCGCTCCACCAATGACATATATTGGAAGATTAATCTTACACAAGGCCAATGGCACTACTCCACGTCATGTTCATTAATAAACAGGTTTTAGTCTTAAATATTAGCCTAATAATGAAAAAGTGTTATGCCTGAAATTGGGTTAGGCCCCTATACCTTATTCTACTATTTCGGTACGCTTATTCCACTATTTCCACTAACTAATTCCACGTGAAACTAAGTCAATAAATAAACAATTCTTTCTCTCCGCACCTTGAATGAATGTGTGCACCAGATTGTAGAAATAGGATGGCTATTTATAAAACCGCCATGACATCGCATAAAATGTGCAATTTATGCCTTCGACTTATGTCTTGACAAATTATCGTAGTTTATTTGTTCAAATGTGTATATTTTTTTACAGTTTTTAGGATTACGGCTTAATTTTATGTTAAACATACAATAAGCATATGAAATAAACCGTTTATTTTGTTAAAACAATTTGGAGGATAAGTATATGCAATACGTAATTCAATCATAATGATTAAGTATTATTAACTATTTCGGAACCATTTTATTTACCGATTCAACTATTGTATCCTTTTTCTAGAAGGTATTATAATTGACTTTGAATGGTAGACGACCTTCTATCTCATTGTACAACCTGAAACTTGACTTAGTTTTATTTTATTTATGTATTTATTGAGTTACATGTCAGTACATCATAATAACAGGACACATTGTCAATGAAAACTAATAGATACAAAAGAGCTAGTAGGAGTGGGAAGGTTTATTTATACCTAATTCCAGCAGTCCTTACAAATGTAAAAAAAAGATTTAGTCTTGAGCCATTCTTTTAAAGAAAGTCTATTTGTTTTATGTTGGTGACGTCGATTTTTAGAGTCGGCAAAATATTTATAATTTTTTTTGAGTAAAATTTCTAATTTGTGCTTTACTGTTTGGTTATAAAACCAGAGGTCGAGATGTTATTTATAGTAAATTTTGTATTTGCTAAAAGTATTTTGAAATAAGTGAAATAACACAGAAATTAGGAAACGAAAACATACTCTCTACAAGAACTGGGTGGAACTTACATCAAAATTGTCTTCAGATGATCAATAAACATGAAAAATCCATAAGGTATGCATAATGGAGTGTGTTTAATCTTTGGTATTATTTTTACCAAGACAATTACTAAATATTATACCAATGAAATGTTTGAATGACAGGCTTAGTTCAATATTAACTTTATTGAGATAAGGGGTAAAGTCTGACTCATCGGAAGTAGCGAACTTGACACCTCATTAACGTTAGAAAGCCTCTTTACCTTTATAACTCCAAAAGCTTACTCGCATGCACCTAATTAGATCTTCGAATAAAGGCTTCGTCATCTTTAGCAGGTTATAAACTTTCATATTACCATACAAATCTTCAGAAGTGAAAGATAAACCCATTATTTTCAACTAAGTACTTTTGAACTGATGCTCTATCTCTAGTAGTTAATTAAGTAAGATTACGCCTAAACAGATAATAGTCTTTACTATTACTGTACATGCTATTATCTAACTTTTATAAAGTAGTGTCCATACCACCCTCAGTTTTACCTAAATATACAACCGACAGAATATACAAAATACAGCGATTGTTATAACGAATCAGGTTGAAATTGATTATTACTTAAATTCATGTTGTAAAATAGGAGAAATAAGTACTGGAACTAATCGATACTATGCGATTACCATTTCTAAAGAGATCAAGGACTTTTCAAAAAAAGATTACTATCATAGAAAACGTTCTCGATCATAAACAAACAGTTTTAAATAAACAAATAGCCTAGTTTTTGGGATCATTTTGCAATTGAAATACGTTTATTCTCGTAGAATAACCTTTATGAAAACGTGATGATAATGGACCAAGTTTTGTTGCAATAATTTAATTGGAACAACTAACGCAATACTTTGCTAAGAGACTGAGTGGCAAAGTTTAGGAAAGGAGGTTGTTTGCTTAAGTGCACCAAACTCTCAGAAGTGTTACTGTTTCTGACAATTTAAGCGCATTCAAAATATTGACTCATGGGTAAAACTAGCAAACTACATTAGCAATTTAAACTACCAATAACACATTTAAATAGGCGTAAATTGTTATACTTTTATTCTTAAACATTACTTAGACCCAAGGGTAATAAATGAGGTCTAAGTGAGAATAAGAAACAGATATTTTGAAGTATAATATCTTTAGTATAATTGTTAAATATTATTAACAATATTATTATTATTATTATTATTATTATTATTATTATTATTAAATATTATTATTAACCTACGTACTTCTAATAGTTCGTTGAAATGTCACAACTACTCAGAAAAAATAGTGTGGTTGTATGTACCCTTTTATGTAATCTTTGAGTGCTAAAAACCAAAAGATGATAGGGATTTCCCTATTATAAGTTTTTACGTTTTGTAGAGGTTTATTAGGCTTTGTTTACACCGAAATGATTCGTTGATAGGTTCATAGGGGTAATCATGGGTAGTGTAGCTAGTACTGAGAGCTAGTCTACTGGTATAGCGCGGTCCCCAAGGTGCTCAGTTCAAATCCCAACAGTCACTAATGGGTTTTAGTTATGTGCCAATGACGCAATCCTAGGTTGCATAACCATGCATGGTCTGGTTGCATGGTCTGTATGATATAACCTGTCTCATGTCCCTACATCTATTTGGAACTGACCAATGGTAAATTGATAAAAATAAAATAAACCAAATAATAAAAAATAAATAAAAAAACACAATTTTAAAGCACATCAACCAAACGTTTATTTATCTCGTGATCTTTCTCGTGAAATGCCTCTGGTTTAGAAAAAAAATGGTTTAAGGGTTCAGGAGACAGGTTCCATCATACAGACTATAGATGAGGTTCCTTGGGGTCTTCGCCCACCACTTCCAGAAAAACGGTATTTATAATTTTGACGGAATCCACTACTTATGGTACTTTCCCAGCAATAAAAGATTGACAGTTTGACCTTGAGAGGTCAAAATATTTTTAGTTGTTTTAAACTGAACCCAGCTGTCTTGGATCATTTTAAATCATTAGTACAGGCTAAGAAACTTTGGCCTTAGTCAATGCCAAACATAAGTCATCTTACTCCATTCCACATCAAATGTTCACTCAATTTTGGTTTGGAATGCACGAAGCTGTGTCTCAATTTTTAATTGTAACAATAATAATTTTCAGCTTACCCAGGTTTGCCACCAGACTCCATGTGATTGGCTAGAGTGACGTCATCACTCCAGACGTCGAATTGCCACTTTCGCAGCCCCAGTACTCCGCACAACACATTGCCCGTGTGGATACCTATCCTCATGTCAACGTTGAAACCAGTGGCCTCTCTAACAAATCTGAACAGAGATAAAATGTAATATTTTAATTTTTAAGTTAGCCTCTGTAAAAATGTTTTAATATTGATTAAACGTTTTAAACATGGTTTGTATGTATGTCAAATTTCACAACAAGTTTTATAAACATACTCGAAAAACGATAGTTTTCAGTTTCAAAGTTCAATCTTAGTTGCTTAAATCACACAAGAAATAGCCTTACTGTATTAAGTATATAGATAGATGACAGATTCAAACGCTACTGTACCTGATGGCGTCTATCATCTGTAGCCCCATGTTGACACAGTTGTACGCGTGGTTGGGTCTTGACACAGGCAATCCTGACACACAGTAGTAGCAGTCGCCCAGGATCTTTATACGCATGCATTGGTTATCCTGGGAAAACATACAGCATTGTGAATAGTCAGTAAATTAACAACATTGAAAACTTACTTATACTTGAGAGAGGACATATAATATGGGTGAAAACGAAATATAGATTAAGTTTTTGTAAATGTGATTGTTTAGTTTATACAAAACGTATCAAATAACAGTTTTGTTTAATAAGGTGGTAAAACCTCTTGTCAGCTACAAAACAGATTTTCTTGACTAGACAAAATCAAATTGAATAAAAAATTAAGACTATGTCGCAAACACACTTGAAGTTTCTCACAAATAGAGCTATTTAATAGAAAAATCAACAATGTTTTCCCACAAAATATTTCTAAATGAGAATATAATTTCGATTTAAAGAGTAAACTTGTTTTAGTCTAATAACAATTTGAAACATTTTTACACTAACTGTTGACTCTCAAGACGGTAAATTCATATCCAAAATTGTAAGTGGTGATCGATGTCGATTGGACACTCCAATAGTTATCAGAATCAACAGGTGAATGTGAATGATATAAATTTATGAGAAGACTTTGACCAATGAACTATTTCAACTCTTGCACCTGAATTGAGTTATCGCATTTGTCGTAGAATTTTTGCTTAACATGATTCCAATTGATACTATTTGAATAACATTTTGAACTGATTACCTGAGCTAATTGATCGAATCGACCAAACAACTCGTTCAGCGTCTTGACCAAGTCTGAAGCACTGAGCTGTTCCGATAAAGGTGTGAAGTTTACAATGTCAGCGTAAAGTATGCTGAAAATTAATACTTAGTATTAGATATGTCACTTGAAGTCTTTTGTCACTTGAAGCTCATGGGAAATTGTTATTGAGTTGGTATTCAAAACGTGCTTACACAATTGAACATATTTAATTTAAATGGAACTTTCAACGCAATCCAACCAACTTATTAACTTACACAGTAAAAAGAGTCCTGTTCAATAGGGTAGAATTATTTATAGTGGAAATGTATACAATCTTATACAATGATCAACATTTTTTTATGCAAAGAGTGTTTTAATGCTTCGACTACTGCAACTCCTAAACATTCCAGCGTAGTTGTTATTAAAACAGTTTTAGTTTCAAACCTGTTAGTTCAATAAAATAAAATTTAAAACTAATTTATTCCAATAACTAAATCAGTTTTGGATATTTTTCGTAATCATTTTGAGAAGAATAACAAAAGAATATAGACTATAAGACAAATTACACTTTTAAAAATCATGCACTGTTAGAAATGGCGGCAACCCTAATACCATAGAATGAATTTGTAAAATAATAAAATAAATGAGATAATATTAAAGTTTGAAAAGAGAAGAGACTAACTGAGTGAGAACAGGTTTAATGAAACAGCATTGCGTTTTGAAAGTTTTTGATCCTAAAGTTTTGTCGCTCGCATATTCAACATTACTGTGGCAATTCATTATTGTAGACTTTAATAACAGAGGCGGAATTCCATAAAAAGTACTAACTTTAAAACGAGTTTAAACGCCTTCCAAGTTTGCCAGATTAGTACTTGGCGAAACTGTCTTTACACTTTAAACGAATTTGCTTCTGACAGATAGGCTGGCGTGATTATAATAAATCTTTCCCAGTTTCATTGAGATTATATTGCAAATTGGAATTTAATATTTTTTGTAACCTTAGTGTTTAAGGAAAATATGTGGTTCGGATTCCACTATAAACTGTAGGTACCTTAGTTGCCATTGGTTGTATGGTTAATTAACAGCTGTGTCTAAGGAACATGTCGGCCTTAGTCACTAACAAGAGTACAAGATCGCACCACTCATCCTTTACTCATCTCCATTTATACTAGCCTTGGTATGGACCATAAACATAAACAAAAATATGTCACTGTTAAAATAAAATGGAACTCTCTAAATCATAACTTAATGGTAAGTATAATATCCGGGCCAGGAAAGTCATTAGTTTAACTTTATGATCCATACAGGTTCTGTTCAATTCGTGATACTTGGCTTTAAATATCCACCTTCGTCACTATTTCAGTTAAAAGAACTACAAGCTTTAGGAAGTGGAAGATCACATAAAATGTCAAACAATAAAATATAAAAAATTAAAAACACAAACTTAATAAAACAAGAATGTAAGATGGTTGAAATGTCAGGGTTTCGGCCATTCTATCGCAAATACGTTAAAATGCCACAGGAAAACACATGATTAAGACTAAAATTAAATGCAATATATATAAAAAAAAAACGTTCACTTTTAGAACCTTTTGTTCTCAAATACTTATCGAAGTTAAGAACTATTTTTGTAAACAATGATTGATAAAATTTTTCGCGAAACTCAATGTAATACCAAATATGAGCGGATTTGAAAAATGACAATGAATGATGAAAAAAGGGATCCTTTCTGACAAAAAAGGACGAATGTGTAATCGTTTTTTAATACATCGAATATAGGCTAATTGTAATCTAGTGTTTTCCCATGCTATTTTTACGTATTTGGGAGAACGGCTTAAAACCTGGGATTTAAATTCCCATGTTTAATACTTTTATCGAAGTTGTTAGATTTTATATTCTAAACTTGCCAATAAAACTAAATACCTACCTTACATTGTTGTGACGTTGGACATACATTTCGTGGAACCTTGTCTGTTTGTTGGATATGTCTTGACAAGCGTCCGCCATCTTGAGCATTATGCTGCGCTTCACCTAAAAAGAAAATGTCTTAAAACATGAACTGATGCGTATAAGGTTAAGCATTATATTTCAGTTTCGGCGTTAGTGAATTATTTATGTTTATTCGATATTGCGTTCCCCTTATTTTAATTATTTCTTGGAAAATACCAAAGTACGAGACAGTATAGTTTATTGCATTCCTCGATTTTTGTTTCTAAAAGTTTTTTTGAGGGCACTTGGGCTTTGGTGATGTTTTTTCTATACAAGTAAAACAAAACTTTCGAGGAACAACGGAAACCATGAATATTAGGTCTACTTGGAAGTTAGATAATTTATAGAAAATGTATTGTATTACAAGCCATTGCAGCATCCTCCTTCAGCGTGGAATAATATTTTTCACAACTCCTTACGTCATGAAGTCTGTAGTTTGTAAACATGTTGACAAAATGACCAAAGCTCTACTGATCCTCCCCAAGTCTTCATCTCTGCAGGGATCCTAGTTGTTATTCCGTGCACTTTAAAATTATGTATTTTGTAACTATTAACCATAACATCGTCTTTATTATACAATCTATTTCTTAACTTTTAATAAATTGAAGCAAATTTAATAATGGGGGACCCATAGCTTGGTGATTTCTATAACTAATTGGCGGAGGCCCATAATTTGGTGATTCCTATAACTGATTGGCCGAGGCCCATAATTTGGTGATTATTTCTATAACTGATTGGTGGAGGCCCATAATTTGCTGATTTATATAACTGATTGGTGGAGACCAATTATTTGGTGATTCTATAACTGATTGGTGGACGCCCATAATTTGGTGATTATTTCTATAACTGATTGGTGGAGATAAATTATTTGGTGATTCTATAACTGATTGGTGGACGCCCATAATTAAGTGATATCTATAACAGATTAGTGGTGGTCCCATTATTTGGTGATTTCTATAACTGATTGGTGGTGGCCCATAATTTAATGATTTCTATAACTGATTAGTGGATGTCCCATTGTTTGGTGATTTCTATAACTGATTGGTGGACACCCATAATTTAGTGATTTCTATTAGTGGAGTTCCCATTATTTGGTGATTTCTATAACTGATTGGTGGGGGCCCACAATTTGCTGATTTATATAACTGATTGGCGAAGGCCCAAAGTTTGATGATTTCTATAACTAACTGATTGTTTGAGATCCATAATTTTGTAATTTATACAATCAACACTTCTATACTGTACCTCTGCAGCTATGTAGGCAGGGATGACGCTGAGCAGCAGCTGTTCTTGTTGTTCCTTCTCGCACTCTAGTTTGACCCTGGACTCTATACAAGTCCTGGTCCCTACGAAGGTCCTTTCATGGGCTGCTTCTGTCATCAGGCGATAGTAAAACCCAGCGACGCTTCCGGAGACTAGGAATACAAGTTCTGCCAACAGCTGGAAACAATGTTTGAAAATTTAATATTTTTTGATAAATAATAGTAGTGTACGATTAAAGTTTGATTAGATTTTCAATGCCTAAGACTGGACCCACCTGATGATGATTGGGATTTTAAAATAACAGTTAACCAAAGAACAGACGTTCGTAACCAGTAACAAAGGCAAAAAACATCACTCTTTGCACACTAGTATTTCAGTTACGTTCATTCGGCTTAAAATAGCTGCTCCTGTAAGTAAAATCAAGAACAAATTGAAAATTGTGAGAAAAAAACTTTCTATCTTAATATTTGGTTTAAAAATCTGTACCAAAAATAAAATAAATTGAAAATATTAATCAATTTCAATGTGACATTTTCATACGCACGAGTTTAATTTGTTATGTTAGTATGAGAAGATAAAATACAACCATGCAAGTTGATAATGGTGTTTACATCTTTATTTCCAAAAATGTTGTTGATAAATACGCGTTTTATTGTAAAATTATAATATTTCAATAAAAAACCTAGTGAACTTTCGTCGTGGAAGTAAGTTGTTTTGATAAAAATATGAAAGTGATACGTGATATGAGAGGTAGGAAGCACACAAGGATTTTCCAACCCTGAACACGTTCCAACAAACCTTTCAAGTCCGTCAACGTACTGTTATTTGATACTTTGTCTTGATAAAACTTAATAGTTTGGACGCTAATCATTCGGCTAATGTAGACCCGGTTAGTTTGATTTTAGTTTGTTAAATGTTTATAAATATTTCCTCTGAATTGATACACTTTGTGCACAAAAAGAAATCGCACTAATCATTTTTACTTGGCTAATTTTAGGTGGTAGATATCCTCGTGAAAGTATACGTTATATAAAATTTTTAAACACATTTTTGTAACTTAGTGTTTACATATTTTGCTTTGAAGGTTTTAAAAGTTGATGTATTAAACTAAATTTAATCTAAAACCTTTTCATTCACCTTTTTAAGTTTGCACGCATACAGGATATTATTTTATGGTCAAGTATACCATTGACCAAATCATTAATACTTCTTTTTAGCTCCTGACGTGATTTTTTAAGGTAAAAAAGGCAATTTGTAGGCAAAGTAAGGTCAATTTGAGACAATAATATACCTCTGTCAAATAGTTCAACGATGGAGATATCTCAGTAGCTTACATGTTTTGTTGTGAAGACAATACTTTTTAAGCTTGTAACTCGTTAAAAATACAATTCAAACAAATACAACACGAACATAAAAACTATAAAAATCCACAAACATTTAGGCAGTGCTGTTGTAATGATGAATTAGTCCAGCGTGGCACGGGGTTGGCTTTATAAGGGTTTCCGAAGAGTTACGAGCTTTAAAAATGTCGACTTTGCAATGAAACAATTTAAGCTACTCCTCGTTTGGAGTATTGTAAAATCGACGGAGTTATGAAAAAACAATGTTGTCAAATAGTCTAGAGAACAGAAACATACAGTTTATTCTAACATTTTTTTATTTTAAGCCAATAAGAGGGTTGTTTTAAGTATATTTGAAGCCACAAAAAATTATTTTTTACCTGTGTGTACAGTCTGAAGTCATCCAGTGTACGATGACTCCTCACAGCAGACACCCCCACATGTCCAGCAGTCACCAAGGCTGCCAACCCAACAGACACGGCCCTGGACACTGGTAGGACCGTGTGGGTGACGACTACAAGGGCAAACAGCAGCAGAGGGACACAGGGGCCGCCCAGGGCGACCACGCCGCCGCCCAGGGAGGCTATAGCCGCCACTCCCAGGACCAGCATGGCGGTGGTCAGTTGGGCGGCCACTGAGATGACCAGGGTGATGACTGTGAGGCCCCCGCATATTGAGAGTGGTAGTAAAAGATGACCCATGTCCTAGAAAAAATGCATTATAGTCTGTATGGTGGAATATGTATCCTGACCATCCGTCTACCTGGGACTAGCCCGGGCCTTAAGTCTTTGGATCCCCAGTTTCTTTTGGTCAAAGGTTTTTATGATATAACGTAGCATTTTAGTGGTAGTATAAAAAAAGACATACTCTGCTACGTTAACCTTTTCATAAATTTTTGTTTTAGTAAATATATTTATGAATAGTAAAACTATTTTTTGTCAGATTACCATTAAGTATACTTATAGTAAGTATTTTCATATAATTTTCTTGATTTGTGCATAAAATATGTTATTTATATTGACTGTTATGCTATTATTTAATTTTCCTAGAGACAACGCGAAGAGGTAAGCAAAATGGCATACATTATACATTATTTTCTCCTTCCTGTAAGAAAACTATATTTTGTTCCTTCTCATACTATCATGACGAAATCTTCTAGTATACTATATGATTTGCCTTTGATTTTTCTTGTTTACTTTAAACCTGATCAATTTCCTCACTCGACAAAGTATCCCCATTCCTAATATTATCTGATTTCTGGACACAGGCGTAAAACATTTCTTGCACAAAGACCAACTTTGTTGAAGTTAGCTTTGTGTGGACTTTGTGTGAGCTTTGTTGTTTGACAAAGGCTTACTCTGATCTTTGATGTTTGGCATCCAAAACAACGTAGTCTGATTGCACCAAGTCCTTTAGTCAAAGTTTATGTTCAAAGGTCACATAAAGGGAAGAGGAGTGCGTCGATACGGCAATCGGCAATCCCTAGGTAGCAATCATTTATCTGAATAATTTAGAAGGCCTTGATGGTAGCGATCGATTCATGATGCTAAGTACATGTGGTTTAAAACTGTAGCTATGAAACAACAGTTGGAGTTATGTACAGTCAGTGTGGGATTGTTAGTTTTGTTAGGTTTGTGAATACAATTATTCATGTTACAATTTTACAATGAATAGGATACGTTCACCAAAATGACTATAAATACTTAAAAAGGGGCACACTGCTAACAGAAATGGTTTCAACTGTGTTAAAAGCTAATTTTCAATGCTTATCGGAGGGAAAAAAACTTTAAGGTGGTGAAATAAAAAGACTGGTGTAAAAAATATAAGTTATAAACTTTGTTAGTATGTTTTACTTCCAGTACTTTAGTTCACAATTTAAGTTTATATGTGCCTCATCATAAATACATTTTCCTAATTCAATGAATAGACTACATAAACTTGAATAACCATAAGTCCTTAGCACCTGAATACGTTTTGACAAACAATGAATAAAATATTTATTTTAAAACCTAGTGCTTTTTTTCTGTACCACCCTCACATCCTAGGACACTAGTTCAACCCCGGAACTCTTCTAACATTACTTCAGGCTGTTCCTAGAGAGTTGCGGCATTATCACATTATAATCCATTGGTGATTGGCAGGATTTGAACCCAGGACCTCAGGCACCGAAGCCCTGCGATGTACTTCTAGACGAGCTCGCTCCCCAGTAAATCGGTGCTTAAGCTTACTATACACCTACAGTCTACTGTATTCGGTTTAAATATCATTCATTTTTGTTCTTAACTAATTACTTTTACGTACAGAGTACTTACGAATGAGAAATAGAAGAATGTGAGGACTATAGAGGCTGCAGCACAACTGATGGTAGCCACTGCTAAGCTGGATACGAACAGGGCGTGCTTCAGCCTTACACAGTACCTCCGATACAGGTCTTCTAGCTCCATGGTGTATCTGGGAATTTGGAAGAAAACATAGTAGATGTAAACAGAATAAGCGATAGCAAAATCCCCACAAGGCCACGGCGAGACAAAAGTGGCAACGTCGCAATCCCGGCCCACTGAAACGTTTGTTATTACAGAGATAAGTATGCCAATAGGCCGGTGCGACGTTGCCACACACCAACGCCGTAGCGTACAGGCTTTGGCGATAGTCATATTCCCTATACATCTGATTAATATGAAGTCAATTCAACACTAAGTAATTTTCAAATCTTTGATAGAATCTTTGGACGAAGATAATGACTGCTCTTTTCGTTTTGGCATTTGGCCTGATAATGGCCAGTCACCATCAGTAACAAAGTTACTCCAAGCATTAACTGATTCATTTCCCATGACCCATGCTTGGTTAAAAATGAGCAATATATCGATTACTTAACATAATGTTATTTTATTTATTGAAAACCATTAAAACAATCGTCCGCAAGACATATTTTAAGAGCGTGAATCCATTGACTTCACACGCTAACCTTTGGACGAAGGAATCATTCACGGTAAACAATTTAGAGCTAAAACGGGCAACGAGTAGACATAATTTAAAATAACTTGTTATAAACGGTTATAACTCATCAGCAACTTAGGGGGATATTCGGCGTTGATTTGATTAACAACTTCGAATCACCACAATAACTCAATATACAAAATGTAAAATGTAAAAAAAGTAAACACATCTGATCGAGTAAGATAAACACCACTTTTCCAACCAACCTGTCCGCACAGAAAATAGTCTGAATACATGCAATCTACCAAATGTTGTTTGCACGATAATCAATTTAGCCTGTAAATGTGTCGGTTGCACCAAACCCCATTACCCCTGAGTACAGTATGTACAATGTGTATTATGTCTTGCTGTGTTGCGAGGTTACATGGTCAAATATTCATGCCTAACTCGCTTTGAGACAGTAACTAGGTTTGTGACCACACTAAAATTACACTACAGCCTACCTTGCTGGGGGAGCGCAAAGGTTACATGGCAAACTGGAACCTGAGAGCCATCTTTGATGGTGATTTTTCGTTCGAGAATTTTTTTACGAATTAACGTATATCCTTAGAGGATAGTCAGTAATATGTGTAGGTTAATAGGTTCAATGATGGAACCTTAGACTTACGCTCCTTAGGCATATCTTAAACTGTAAGTGAAAAAAATAAAGTACAGATGTTTCCACTAAATGGCTATCAGTAACATTTTTCTGAAATAAACTTTTTATATGTAAATCAACAAAAGTTTAAGACAATGAAAACACTTCAAATCTAACAACACAAAACCTGTTTAATTTTAAGTGAATTTAGCAGTGAAGATATTTTAAAGGTTGATGGTGATTCAGAAGAGCCACAAATCAAACTGATAACAAAGTTTTGTAAATTTGTACGTTCCTTTAAATGTTAAAATCTTATCCAACTTAATATGGAAATAGCAAACGTATTGAACGCACAAGTTATCATGTGAATTAATGCTATTTGGGAACCAAGCTGTGTATTTTAGTCATTAGTTTTTATAATGGAATGTAAAATCCATTGGTAATTTCCCTTAACTAACCTATTCCTAAAGCTTTTTCTAAAGTCAGATCAAATGAAAAAAAGGCAAAACAATCGTTTAAATAATATACACTAAACTTTTAGTTTGTTTATGAAAAAATCCGTTTTGTAAATTTTTGATTTTCAATGTAAGTTTTAGAAGAAAACTAGAGAATATCAAATATGGAATTTACAAAAAAATATCTGGAGTAGGAGAGCAAATATTCATGAGATAGGGAGAACCCCAAGTTATCACTTCAGATATCAATATATCGCCGCGCTGGTCTCATTTGTATTGGTAAAGTAACTCCTCCTGGGCAGACTGAAGTGAGCTTGGCCAACTCAATCATTCCGCTGAACCCGCGTGAAACCGTGGTTTTTTTAAATTGTCCATGTATCTTTAATAATTAAACTCTCTTCATTAACCTAATTACAGACATAGCACATGTACATGACATTACAGATGTAGGAAAATTGTAGGTTTTTGAAGATTTGAATAGTTTAAGTTTCTTTGTTGAATAATTTATTTTATTTTAATAAAAAAAAAACATTTTTGTGTACTTAAAATTGCCAATCTACGTAAATAACCTACAATAAAAGAGTAAAATAAATAATAAATAATAATATCAAGTAAAAAACAAAAAAAATAAACTAAAGTAAAAAGTAAACAATAAAATAAAGTAAAAAAATAAAACAAAAGAATTAACCAAAAAAACAAATAAAATATAATAAAACAAGTAAAATAATTTGTCCCCTGAAGATAGAAAGAGGGGAAATTATTCATGGATAAGCGAAATTCAGCAAATTTTTAGTAGAATGGTAAATAATAACAAAAAAGACATTTTTTCAGGTGTTTCGTAAATAAATAAAAACATTATGGATTCCAGCCAAAAGTTGGTCATAAATAAGAATGATATACGTACGACGTACAGTACAGTTATAAAGAAGGTCTTTGCACCATTTGCTTGGGTTATTACCTATAATAATAAAGATAGGAAGAGGAGAAAAATGTGGGAAAATACTGCCGATTTGTACTAGATACTTGTCATTTGACACTGTTCTTGGTCTTGGGCAAAACCCGCGGAAACAAAGTAAAAGATCGTATTTAAAAATGTCAACCTCCCCCCTCCTCAAAGAAATTATATTCTCCACATATGTTTATTTTGGAGAATAATATTGAAATTTACTCACTTTAGTATGGTGATCTAAATCCCTATGGAATTTAGAAACAAGAAGGAGAATTAAATTAAACACGTGAAGACCGTGAAAGTTAGTAATATTTTCAAACTTTAAACTTCAAAAATTTAAAATGGTGGACGGCAGAAAACGCCTTATCATTTATGGGCTCTAACGGGATGACGGTGTGTGGTATGTAAAAAGGACAGCGAAAGCAACTTCTCATTTTTGATGATCTACAAATTTGTAACAACTATTTTTTGTACATTCGTAAATAAAAAAATTGTATCTTTAGATTTTACAAACATTGTTAAAGCTTTCTGTAAAATTATACATTACAAAAATGAACAATTCTGTTTTACGCCTAATGCTATTGTTTCGTGATGAACAACTGGAAATGATTCATATCACAAGTTACAGTCACAACTCACAACACTACGTGAAAAGTGATATTGGCACGACATTTGATATCACATTTCTGATCAAATGTCATGTTTTGGTCTCATCAGTTTGGTCCTTTTTCGTTGTAATAGTATAGTAATAATATATTACAACGGTAAACCTTAATATACAAAACTTGGCCAAATCGATACTTTATGAGCTTTAGGATAAAGTATATTGTATACAGTATAAAAGGATATTTATTGGTTAAAACTTTTATACGTGGCCATAATGCTAGGAAACTTACATTTACGTGATAAATTATTTATCCTTATGCCTGGACTACAAAAGAATTATTTATTCATAATTTTTTTTTAGGAAATGTAAAGGGAGTATTTTATAAATAATATTGTTTAAATATATTTTGTAATATAGTTACATAATAAATTAAGAATATTGATTGATTACTCTTAACAAACCAATAGAACGACGATAATTCATAAATAACCAATGACATATTTAACTGAATACATTTAAGGTAAATGAAAAATATTAGTGCACCTCAATAACAATTTTACATTTACATCGCAAATATAGAATATTTCGGTAAATGCGATATATCGGTTTAAAAGCTGGACGATGATATGTTGTGATAAAGTCAGATAAAACAATAATCCGTTTGTTAATTGACATCTGCTGAAAATCTGTCGATTATTTTAATCGAGTTTCAACTAGGTTTTTAGCATTCTGCATCACCACCATTCCAGAGGAATACAATAATTTTAAATAGATTGAACAATTAATACATGACTAATATACAGCAATATCGATTACAAAAACACTTAAAAGGTAAGATAAATTAGTAACTTAAGAACATTTAACTAATAATCTACAAACATCACACTGTATGTTTTACATTAATTTGTGTTACTTTTTTATAAAACTTCCCATTTTAATCATACACATAACACTAAATCACGGGGAATTGGAATTTATTAGGTTTACGTATTTTAACTATTTCAAGATAGTTTATAAAAAAAGGTGATTAAGATGATCGGTTCCAAACATTTAATTCAGGACTTTAAAGCATGTTTTGTTTTAACTTGTTTTAATGTTAACCAAAGTTGAGTTTTTAGGGTTGTTCAATGCTAAACAAATTTGAAACATAAAACGTATGTTAGAAAATATCTTGACACAAAGACCTGTTGACTGATCACCTCAAATTTCAATAGGAAATATAAAAAAACTGATACAATCATTAAATCAAATGCATAAAATTAGTTATTTTTGTTATTTACACTACAGTACATATTAATGAGTATTTTTGTATATACATTGTATTACATACACATGAAATATATAACTAATATAGTATCAACATCATCGTGTTTTCCATGATTTTGTTACTTTTAGTCATTTTCTTAATTATTTAAATACCAATTCTTCCCTACTGCCTCAATAATGGAAATAACAAGTTTTTTGTGTAAATTTTTACGGCAAAAATAAATAAGGTGTTTAAAAACGGTCACATTGTTTAAAGAGAAATGGAAAAATAAATGCAATCGGAACTATTGACAGACGAAGGTGGCAACGAGGGTCTCGTATATTTTCATTCATAAATTCCAGAGGGATATGAATCGGAAATATTACACACGGTTACATTTTTCAGACCTACCTTTTTCACTATACGGAAAATCCATTGAAACAAGGTTTTTTTAGTATAATTCAATGAGATAATTTTGTATACTACTAATTGTATAATAAGAAAGCCAAATAGTTAATGTTACTCTATTATTGAATGAAGTTATTAATATGCAAACTGCTCATATTTTATGTAGGTTTTAAACGTAAACCTGCAATCATTGTAATCATAAATTCTTTATATTTTATCACACTGATCAACTATTTCGAACTGTTATAATTTACAGCTATTAGTTTAAAGGTTTAAGTGCTAGGTAATTACATGGAAAATAGGTAAAACCCTATGAATTCGGCACATAGTTCTTAAGTATAAAATTTAAGTTATATCTCCTATTTCGTGATGAATGTTAATCAATTTTCTTAACAATTAATCTTGAAACAAACTACCTAATTATGTGTCGTAAATAACTAAGATTCTTATGGTAAACGCTTTGTGCCAACAGATGGTGTGTAAATCTCCTTATATAAAAATATCTTCAACTTTCTGTCCGTGAAAAAAAACCGACTACCGGTACTCTAAAACGTCATTACAAATACTTATAACTTATATAATAGTTTATTATTTATTTATATTACAATAGATGCATTTAACAAATAAAATGTTAGTACATACCTTTAGTTTTCCTACTTAAGCCGAGTCATGGTCTTTTCCAACAAAGCAGCGTTAGGCCCCTGTAAAAAGTACATAAATAAATAGTTTTAACTTTAAGTTCAAAGTTATTCTAAATTAAAATTAATAACAACTTCTAAAACCTTAACTTTCAAATATCAATGTACAAATAACTAAAGTTAAATGTTTAAACCTGCATTATTATTTTTTTATACGTTTATTTTTATTTTGTAATGTAATTTTAAAACTTTAAGTATTCTAAAAACGGTGGCAACGTAGTTTCCAGAGGAATTAAAAATGAACCATAGTTTGAGAAAGAATACGCCTATAAAGGGTTATGAAAGAATTTGTATTTATTAAAATGTATTTTACTCAATAAGTCCCTCAAATAGCTTAAAAGCGAATATTTGGTATGATTATTTCATAAATTAAAAATCTATTAATACTCTATAACACAATAAAATAAAGCCCAAAACCAATTCATACCACAGAGTTTTAATTGAATGTCACAAGCGATTATACAAACTAAGCACTTTAAAAGCATCAAATAGTACGAAGCTTTTACTGGGATGTTGTGATTCTTTGTTTAGCCGTAATGGACCATTCAAGCCACCGTGTTGACCGTATTTTTCAATTGTTGGGCTTAGTTTTATCCTAAAGTTAAATTTAGTGTTTTAGTTGCGGGAACGCTCTTGCGTAGGTTTTCATTTAAAGTAGAATCATTTGAGTTGTTTTGTCGGGAAAATATAAACCGAAATGGATGCCAAATAAATAACCTAAGGTGTGGTGTTAATACAATTATTCAATTTTTTGTAAGCAGCTGGATATCTTTTCAATTTATTGAAATTATTAGCAATAATTTATACATAGGTAAAAGGGGGAAATTGTTAATTTTTCGCGGGGTAAAAGCGTAGGAGTCCAGGATGGAAGCTCTACATTTTTTACCTGAAAACACATTTCGTAGTCAAAGTAATTTTTGAGACGGATTAACAATCATATTTTCATAGGCCAGGTCAAATAAAGATATATTCATTTAAAAATTTGTATTAAAAATACAAAATAATGTAGGATACAATTATATACATGATGTAACATATTTCAATGTTAAGCTAAAATACCTGTATATTAACGGGCAGCAATACATTTTTTCATTTTTTTTACTTGACTTTTGTACTTTATTGACAAAGACTTCCTGTTTCTTATTTTTCTTCAAACAACAAATAGTTAGTTGAATAAATCCGTAACAGCTGAAGATATTTAAAAATTAAGGAAACATTTTGGGAGAAAAAGGGGGAAAAGCGACTTTTCCGTTTCCTGAATTAATAATCCTGAGGAATAGTGGTCTTAGGAAAAATATAAGTTCATCATAGGTTAAATAATGGCATAGTAAGATAAAACCACGATCTTACAGGTTTTATTTTAAAATCACTAATATAACTGTGGATATTCATATACCATCCAAAAGTTTATTCGATTTTGCTAAATTAATATGCATAAATTATTATTTGCTACTAACTTTGTACAGAAATCAGAAAATTTTTGTCGTCTTCAAATAAACAAATCGATATTTTTTACCGTACAAAAACTTTTGAAAAGTCGTCCAGGCAAAGCAAGTTGTGAGACATTCTTTAATTTTATCTTTTTTAATAATTTATGTTCATAAGATAGAAGAAATATGATACTCGTAAATGTTAATGGTGCGTCAACATTAACATGTATTTGTCTCGGAAAACATAAATACCTCACAGTAAATTTTAGAGCTGCTTTCAGAAAGGCAAATTAATACACCGTGTTTTTATTACAAACATTATCATTTTAACACTTGGTAGTAAATATTAGAGACTAATAGATGTTATAAATTGGGGTTATTCATATTATCAATGGGGTGCAACAAATGTGTTTCCTTGCCAAGATTTGAGTCATCGTTACGGGACGTTTGCCAAGTAAATATTGGGTCCGATTTTTATATTTGTAACGGAAAATATCTACCTAGAACTGCAGGATTTTATCAATAGACTCAATGTTAGAGTGTTTTGGGAATAAAAGTAACCAAAATATTTATTATTTGCCATATTTGATCAAACTTACATCATATAGACAAACTCCTAATCCACAAACTATATTAAAGAATGATCGCTGTTGCATTTACAATTTAAGTGATTAAATAATAGACAGGGTATCACGTAAGTAAACAAACTCAAAAAAATAAATCTATGGGTAAAAAAAAAACTAATTGTTTTTCAAAATGATTTGTTAACCAGATATCCACAGTTTTGGACTTTTTACATACAAGTTTTTTTTTTTCTTAGTTGTTTCCACCGATCTTTATGAAACTTGCTATGTGTGTTCAGGTAGAAAAGAGTGATATGTTAAGAAATTAAGAACAAGTTAAATATTATGCTATTTAGTTAAGCAATAAGGTGAAATTAATTATGAGGTGTATTCTCACTAGCTTAGCCTTATATTTTTATCTAATTTTTCCAACAGAAAGGCGTTATTTTTTGGACTTTTTTTTTTCAATATTTTCGGTCTTGGAGTCGTTTCAAAGCGTATTCTAAGTGATAATAAATATCTTTAGTTCAATATTTAATTGTATGTAGCCTACGGCAAATTTACAACAGTAAATGTCATGGTTTTGTTTTAATTTCCTCTATTTATGTCGGTTTGTTAGGAAATCAGTTTTTGTGGACAAACTCAATTTCAGCGGCGGTAACATGGGTTTACGCTGAAATCGTGGATTTATTTTGTCCAAAGCGTTCAAGCCCGACCAAGCTGAAAGTCCACCTGATCCGTTTGTTTTGTATTTTAAATATTTTTTCTTCGTATGTGGGCTTAAGATAAATTTGAATTGTATTTCAACATATGTCTGTTTTATGTAGTATATTGTTATTTTTTACAATCTGAGAACCGGTTTTAAGAAATTTTATGGGAAAAATTAATCATGTCACTGATATCAATTCAAGATTTACACTGGTTTTTTATCCATGAAATAATAAAATAATATAAAAAATTCATCTTTAAACATGTAATCTTAAAAATACTTTACATTTATAAAACAGCAAGAGTCAAAAACTATCAATAGCTTTAAATAAAAAAAAAAAAAAGTTGCATGGGAATTATTAATTTTAAATGTGCTATTACAATAAGAAGTTAAAATTTTTATGAGTCAGCTGATTAAATTTGCTTCATTTGCTAAATTATTAGTCTATCCGAGCAGTTTGCTTTTGGTAATAGTAAAGAAGTTTTAAACACCAAACATGCACTGTACCATTGACTATACACCTCTACATGTAGAGGTGTATAGTCAATGACTATTTAGTTGTGTAATTTCAGCCACTTTGATGAACTTACCAAGTTAGACAAACGCAAACTTAAACCATCAATAAACTAGACTTTTGAATAGATAAAGTGTCCCAGTAGTTGGCAAAAGTTCTAGTTCTTGACCTGACATTGATATCACTAATGACATATACACATCTTACATTAACAGGACATTTAAACATTTTTACTGACGCTGTTTGTTTTCAATTTTGTTTTCTTTCTTGTTGTTCTTCTTTTTATTTGTCATGCATGTGTTAATTATTAACAATCGATACAATTAGTACAAATAATAACAATAAAGATTAAGATTAAAATGGTTTATATTATATGATAGTTGACTTGAGAAATAGTGTTTGTCAATTATTAAAATATTCATTTCGCTATAAAGCTGGAGCTTTCGTAAAATATAATTTATTTTGGATAATGGAAAACAAATTATATTAACCGCTCACTTTGTGCAACAATGTATTATTTCTGATGCCCAGAAAACTATAATGGACTAAAATAGATTTTAGTGTAATCCCAACAGTTAAGCAGCATATTTACTTGCTGATTATCTTTTCATTTTTGGACATTTGCAGCAAATACCTCACATTTATGAGTTTTGTAGATTCAAAATCTAAAACAGTTACTTACTGTTTATTATATTTGATGTATTTTTGTTTTTGATTGCAAATCAACATTGGAACCCATGCATATAAATCTACAATCAATTAAACATAATATTCAACATTGTTTAACAAAAATAAATAAATACAAAAATTGTTTTATACATGGAGCATTCATATTCAACCGACCAAGTCGGAAACGGTGGTAACACTAACAACATCAACTGCTGAATATTCGTGTATTAATCGACATATCCTGCAATCAAGGGACAAACACGAGGTGCTCCTATGAAACTTGGTCATATAGTTATAACATAACTATAAAAAACATTCCTTATAAAACATTAGTTCATAATAAAAACATATATGCATCTCCCTCCCACGCGTGGGTTCTTCCATGTGACAATTAGTCTATATTTAGTCTATTTATATTTAAAGTAATTGCAGCATGTAATATTTTTGTAAATGCTTTCGAATTGTTTATTTGGAACGAAATACAATACATTTTTATTTAAACATAATTAAATGTTAAAATATGGACCTTATTCGTTCGGATAGTTAATAATTTATGTAGGACTTCTCGTCCTTATCTATTCTGGGTGTTTATGTACACTGAGAACTATTTTAGTTTCATTTACTGCTATAGTTATGCAGTGTCAGGTCTTTTAATAATCTAACGATATCTAGATGCATATTTTCAGTATGCTTAGTATTAAATACTGGCAGAATCAAGAATTGAGAAACGTATTTGTATTTTTAACACAGCATATCAGGTTTAACGTAGGCTGTTTACAGTTTTAAACGTTTGAATTTTAAAAATACCCTCACCACAGCAAACATGTAGACTAAAAGATTTTACATTTAGCTCGCTGGTTTTCCACTTAAATATTCCCATAAAAATGCCAGATGTATTTCCTATTTCAATTACATTACTTAGTTTGTTGCTGCATGGAGGTGGGTTTTTAATTGAAATGTTTTAAGCATGGCTGCAAGTATAAGTAACACTAACTTAACCACACAAACAGATGTTGGAGCGTACTCTGTTTTGACATGTGTTGAGTGAGCTAACATCTGAACAATATACTCCATTCATAACTAAGTGTTATGATTTCATTGTAGTAGTAGACTGTAGT